CAGAACATCAAAAGCCCATTTTTTAGTCTCCAAAATTTTAAACTTTTAGAAGATGGAAACCAAATATTTCTTTTTACACCCATCAGTGGGTTATGGGTGGTAAGCACCAAGTGCATGTTGAATACATAAATATCTTCATCCCCTCTTTTCCTCCATTCCTACATAGAACTAAGAGTGACTGTATCCCTTAGATAAAGAGGCCTTTCAGTTGTACGACACTTTAGACTTTCCAAAGGTTATGGCATAGCAGTCCAAAACACCTCATCTGAAGCCAGGCTGTCTGGGTTCCCACCATTGCTCTACCAGCTGTGTGACCTGGGACAAGTTACATAACCTCTCTATGCCTCAGTTTTGTCATCAGCATAAAGGGAAGAATAAAGGTACCTACCTCATAAGAGTTCCTAGAAGGATTAAATATGTTATTTGTAAAATGTTGAAAATACTATGTCTAGCACATAGTAAGCATTATATAATGCTTGCTAAAGTAAATTATACATATATATGTACATATCTATATTAGTGATACTGTATGTATTGTGTACATAGATATTTATAGTAAATACTCAATAAAATTTAAATTTAAAAACACACACACATAGGGACACACAATTTGGCATCCATGATGACCTTGTAAAGTAATCAGAGGCATTAAATAATTTCCGCACACATAGTAATTATAGATCCATTCCTGGGATCCATGTCTTCTAACTTTCGAACCAGTAGTCAAAAAATAGAAACTATAGCATTAATCTATTGATCTTCTCCAACACATACAGTTTTCAGATATATAGTGATTTCTTAACACAAAGTATTAAATTTGCTACAGGTATTTTTATTATTTTGGCTTAAACTATATGAGTAGTGTCAGATACATAATATGGGTGTGTCAATAAGAAAAAAAATACTAACTTCTGTGCAAGTTATCATATAGGATATCCCAATCTCCTAAGGAAATTCATGATGTGGGTCATTTTCTACTTGACTGTTTTTTCAGCCATTGAGGAAAAATGGAGCAAGAAAGATAAATTAGGTGTATTGAACGGAGAATTATGCATGAAGTTTTAGTAGAGAAGAATTCAAACAGGAAAATATGCTATGGGAGTACATTTACATGGCTATATGCCTGTCAGGTCATTTGGTATGCAAAGGCTTGTGTTTGCATTAAGCTGTTGGAGAAGCTGTTATTTTCTTTGCAGTATGTATTCAAAATGCACCTGTAAAAAATAAAAGCTTTCCTTTACTTCTCTGAAAAAGAAAGAGAACTGTCTGTTATTTTAAATACAAAATACATTTGACTTCTGTCAACAGCTTACATTTTAAATAATGCAGTTTGTACTCGCATTCATTATCTGCAATTAGAGTTCTCGAAAAGCTTTTAGCATTTATCTCCCCAACTTTTAAAATTCATTCATTGTTAACATTTTAGTGAATAGTGGAAACCCTAAATCAAATTGGAAAACTCAAAAAAGAAATTTGCTTTCCGGAAATTACCACTGAACTAGGTAGAGAATCCTGAGCTATTGTGCTGAACCACATTATGATGAAATACACTCTTTTCAGAGTTAGGTCAGACTCAAATGTTTTCCTTTTAACCCATACTAGTCAATAAGGAACACCCTGCTGGCAGTCAGCGCAGTATCTTGTCTTTTATACTAAGGATTATTTTGTGCAAACTACCTGTTTATACTAGTCCTCAGTGTCCAAGTCAAGCAAGAGTCAGAAGTTCAGGTTTTTTCTTTGCGATAATATATTTAAAAGAAATATTTCTCAGATTCTCGGGGTGGCCAAGTGTGATGAGAGTCACATGTTCTCATTTCCTCCTTCCTATTAGCAAGAATACAGACAGCTGAGCAACTCGTGTGTGTGTGTGTGTGTGTGTGTGTGCACGCGCGCGCGTGTGTGTGTGTACACCCTGTCATTTTAAGATGTAACTGGAACCAAGACCCAAATATAATAGTGTGTGGGTTTGCTTCAGGCAGGGAATAACAGAGCCAAGCCTAGAAAGAAATGCAAGGTGTGTGTAGATTCGTTGATCTTTTGCTGTTTGCCCAGCTGCAGGGTGACTCCCTTTTCATTTCCCAGCTGCTCAGCTGCTTCCTACTGCTATTTTATTTTTCTTTTAAACTAGAGTGGCCAACCAAGCTTCTCCTAGACAGGTTCAATAATTATTAAAAACAGACAACTTTCCAATTACACATGGCTCAGAAAAAGCTGCCAGTGCTTTATAGTTTAGCCCTAACTTTGTTCTGGCTCTGTAATGCCTTTGACCTGATTTACTAGCTTACATTTTTAAGGAAAGCCATCATCAGATTTTATGAAAATAAGTAAAGGTTCTTTGTTAACCCCGCGTTTTACTCTTCAAAATAGTCATCTAGAGAACATATGTTAAGTTGAACCATAAGAAAGTACTGATTTTCCACCTTTTTAATAACTTACAGAAGGAGCAATTTCAAATGGATTAACCTAAATAAATATATTTATTCCAGTGATGCTTCCGGTCTCAAACCATTTGAAAATTCATCTCTTGAAATGAGAAAAATCAAATTCATTACTTGAAAACATTGCATTATTCTCAACTTCTTAAACCTTAGTTATAAAATTGGCTCTGAGTAACGTGTGGTTATTTGCATATGAAATGAAGTCTGTCTTCTGGGGATGAGAATTTGACATCATTTATAAGAAAGTACCGCCACAAATGCTTAGCATTGGGTGCCGAGTTCGGGTGTGCTCCTCGACACATCCTTTGCATTGGAGTCATCACACCTTACATGTGTTGTTTCTTTTAAGGAGTATAATTGTGCTCAAAATACACAGGTTTTCAAATTCACCCAGATGTCTGACATCTGAAAGCATATTGAAATTATATTGGAAAAATTATGATTTTCAGGTAAAATCTGTGACTCTGAAATCTGTGACTGTTATTCTCCTGTACCTAAGAATACAGAGATTACATACAGACTTACAGATACTATTAGAAAAATAATGAATAGCTTGTTTATTATTTGAGAAAATATTTATTAAGCACCTATATTGTCTGAAATACTTTCAGAGATACCACTATAGACCAGTTTTAATTAGCCGTGTTTATAATTGGCAATATATTACTAAGTCTCAAAAATGTGCATATTCTCTAACCCTGCAATTCTATTTCTAAAAATTTGTCCTAAGAAATGTGACACAATTTTGTACACAGACTTTTTTGTAACAATAATATAGCCAAAATGTGTAATAATTGAGGATTCATTCTATAAGTTTTAGTACATTATGAAATTTTTATATTCTATATATTCCTAAATTTATTAAAATTCAAATTACATATATCATTTCTAAGAGAAGAAATTAGATATACAGCAAAGGTTTTTAACACAACTTTATAAAGCAAATAGTTTAAATATCCTTAAATTTTTAACAATGGGAAGTTAAGTTATGGCACAGTCATATAGAAAAATACTATGTAGCACTGAATATTATGTTTAGAAGAATATTTAATGATATAGGAAAATGTGCTGATATATAAATGACAAAGGACATTGTAATCTAAAAATTATAAATATAGGATGGTCTCAGTTTTTTAAAGAGAGAAATCATATATGGCATTATTTATTTATTTATTTATTTTGTTTATTTTGTTTGAGGCAAGGTCTCACTCTGTCACCCAGGCTGAAGTGCAGTGGCACAATCTCAGCTCACTGCCACCTCCATCTCCTGGCTCAAGCAGTCCCCTCACCCCAGCCTCCCAAGTAGCTGGCTCTACAGGTGCACGCCACCAGGACCAGCTAATTTTTTTATTTTTGTAGACACAGGGTCCCGCTGTGTTGCTCGGGCGGGTCTCAAACTCTTAGTTAGGCTCAAGCAGTCCTCCCACCTTGGCCTCGCAAAATGTGCTGGGATTACAAGCGTGAAGCCACCATGCCCTGCCCTTAATTTTAACTGACATCCCCTCACTACAGTAGCCAGCCATCTATGGCATTTTTAAAGGAAGAAATGTGTGTGTGTGTGTGTGTGTGTGTGTGTGTGTGTGTGTGTGTGTGTGTTTTCATAGAGAAAAGGCTGGAAGGCTTTATACTAAAATCTTGTCAGTGATTATCTTTGATTGCTTTTTATTTTCATTATTATTATTATTATTATTATTATCATTTGAGATGGAGTCTCACTTTGTCAACCAGGCTGGAGTACAGTGGCACAATCTCAGCTCACTCCAACCTCCTCCTCCCAGGTTCAAGCGATTCTCCTGCCTCAGCCTCTCGAGTAGCTGGATTACAGGTGTGCCACCACAGTTGGCTAATATTTTGTATTTTTAGTAGATACAGGATTTCACCATGTTGGCCAGGCTAGTCTCAAACTCCTGACCTCAAGTGATCTGTCTGCCTCGGCCTCCCAAAGTGCCAGGATTACAGACATGAGCCAGTACGCCCGGCCTATTTTTTTGTTTGTTTGTTTTGTTTTTGTTTGTTTAAGAAAATAAATGTTTTCTATAATGAACATAAAGTATTACTTTGTGGTCAGAAAAACAATGTTTTTTCAACTAAAACTATGTATGAACCTTAATATTTCCATTTTCTACTTTGACAAATAGATTTCATGCAATAAAATTCCTTTAATAAAGACTGTATGAATTTGGGTTTGGGTTGGGCTGAAATTGATCCATGAATAAATGGTTTATTCTGCAAATTAATAATGTAGAGGAGATTTTACAGAAATACTTTTAAGCTAAAGAGAACTTTTCAGGTACATTGAAAAGTATGCATAAGACTCCGTAAATCATTTTTTCATCAAATCCTGCCCCCTCAGTGCCTTTTCCTGGCAGATGAATTTGCATATTTCTGTGTGCTTTATGTAGAAGCAGTAGTCCATAATTCACTTATATTACTAACAGTTTGACTTTCCCCTCTGCCATTTGGAAGGTGGCATGTATATGGTATATGTCCTATAAATGGTTCCCATTCACTCTCTCAATTACAGACAGACATCTTGTAACGATTTGGGTCACTTTTCCACAGGTGATGAAAACATACCATATGTATCATGCAGAGAGCATCAGTGCAGAGAGCAAGCTGAAAGAGGCTGAAAAACAAGAGGAAAAGCAAATTGGAAGATCTGGTGATCCAGTCTTCCATATTCGACTAGAGGAGAGACATCAACGGCGAAGCTCTGTAAAGAAAATTGAAAAAATGAAAGAAAAAGTAAGTGAAAAGAGATGGCAGAACTCCTCTGCCTTCATTTGAGGAGACAATACTAAGAACACTGATGCAATAGCTGATATCCACACATTGTAAATTATTGTGAAATGACATGCATTTCCTCCCATGGGAATGAGAAATGTTTAAGAAATGTAAAAATCATGTAATAACAGCTGGACATCATTTAGTGGTGAATGCCAAGTATTCAATACACAGTGTGGAGAACTTGAATATTAACAAGGAGATTTCATTGCAAATGGGCCTGAAGCCCAAATACATTGTTATTATTCCCCATAGCTGGGTGATTTTAGTTTGCTATTTAAATCAGATTCAAAATGTACTTTTGGCAAAGGACTTTGAGGGTCATTTGTATATGTGGAATAAATTGTTAAGGTTAATAAAAATTCATGTATGTTTCTCTGTCGTGATTAAAAATGACTTTGCGTTCTTTCCCACTGCCTGGATCTTCTTCATTCCAGAGACAAGCAAAATATTCGGAAAATAAGCTAAAATCAATTAAGGCACGGAACGAATATCTCCTAACACTTGAAGCCACCAATGCCTCAGTTTTCAAGTATTATATTCATGATCTTTCTGATTTAATTGATGTGAGTACTTGAAGTTTTTGTCTTTCCATATTAAAATGAAATTAACAATAACCATATTTCATTGATTGGAAAATACTATCATTTCTTAAGACTGCTATTTTACGTAATACTCAGAAAGAAAAAAATGCTTTTATTTAAATTATCCATAATACGAAGACACTATCATCTGTAAGATGCATGTGAAAAAGTGTGCATCCTAAAACCAATGAAAAATAAATGGTTAGATTCTGTGAAGCTGTGAGAAGCCTGGTAAACTCAGCTAAAACGGGGCCCAGTCATTTGCAAGTTATGTAGTGGTGCAGCCCTAACTGCATTCATTATTTCAAAATGTATTTATTGGGCCCCCACTATTGTGAGACGCTGAAGCTCTCAGAAGCCATATGCAGCCCTTACCCTCTAGGATTTAAAGTGAAGAAGACAGACTTAAGAAATGACTACATGGATGATTACTTTATTACAGTTGTGGTCATTACTGGGATGCAAAATAGAGTGCACATAAATGACATTTACAGATGTATCTAAGTCTCTGTACATTCTCTCGTAGGATATGATATAAAAAAGCAGTAATTAGGTTTATTTAGAGCTCTCCAAATACATATTCATTGTATGTATGCAGTGTTTACTGCCGTTATTCCCCAACTTTAACCCTCCACATTATTCATTCATCTTTTCATTCAGAAAACATGTACTGAGTAGTCCAGTCATTGTGCTAACACTATAGGAGGCTGCAAAGATGAAACACAAAAATCCCACGTCTAAAAATGCCACTACCTGCAAATAAAAGATAACAAGTGATTAAGTGCCATAAAAACGGCACAGATAAAGTCATAGAGGTTCAGAGGGTTACCTGCTGGAATTTTATTCATATACTGCTTCGTATTAATTGGATTCAACAGTTTTATTGTAAAATATTTTATTTTACAATAAAATAATTAGCCGTCATAATTTAAACATACCGTAGGTTAAAACAGCTTCATTTTTCTGGTGAATTTAAGTTCCATGTATTTAGCTGTGCCAAACCATTTAGCCACAGTTTGGGATTTCTATAAAAGAATTGCTGAGGGAAGGAATTATTTTTTAGCTTATTAACACTCTGATGTGCCTCTTTTTTTTTTGAGACAGAGTCTCACTCTGTCACCTGGGCTTTAGTGCAGTGGCACTATCTCAGCTTACTTCAACCTCTGCCTCCTGGGTTCAAGCGATTCTTTTGCCTCAACTTCCTGAGTAGCTGGGACTACAGGCGCGTGCTACCACACTGGCTAATTTTTGTATTTTTAGTAGAGATGGGCTTTTGCTGTGTTGTCCAGGCCATTGTTGAACTCCTAAACTCAAGTGATCCACCTGCCTCAGCCTCTAGTAGAGCTGGGATTACAGGCCTGAGCCACTGTGCCTGGCCAGCCACCTCACCCAGCCTCTGATGTGAATGTTTTTCTTTTTGTCTCAAAACAATGTTATCCTATAATATCATCATTTATTTATATAGAACCATGTAGTAATAAATAAAACCAGGGAAAATTTTCTCTTTTCACTTACTACAAAATATTTCATTCAAGTAATCACTTGATTATTTTAAATGCAGAAACTTTTTGTGTTGCTTTAAATACTTACGTCTTCCAGCACCCTGATGAAACAAAAGGAGCTTTTTCTGTTACACTCCTCCTAGATTTCCTAAATAAAAGATTTTACTCGGTTTCCTGAGTAAAAATAAAGAATTTTATGACCCCAGTTTTCAAACTTAAATCTGTCAGGTTTCTCCAAGGTATAGGGAATATAAAAGAACTAATCCTATGTAACTTCTTTCTTGCTTTTTTGTTTAGGGTTCATTTTGGTAGTGATTGGAGTACTTGGCCAAATCCAAACCAATTTTTTTTTTTTTTTTTTTTGAGACAGAGTCTCGCTCTGTCACCTAGGCTGGAGTGCAGTGGCACGATCTCAGCTCACTGCCACCTCCACCTCCCAGGTTCAAGCAGTTCTCCTGCCTCAGCCCCTTGAGTAGCTGGAATTACAGGCGCTCACCACCACACCTGGCTAATTTTTGTATTTTTAGTAGAGATGGGGATTCACCGTGTTGGTCAGACTGGTCTCGAACTCCTGACCTCATGATCCACCTGCCTTGGCCTCCCAAAGTGCTGGGATTACAGTCGTGAGCCACCGGGCCCAGCCAATCCAAACCAATTTTAATGCCAGAAAAACTCCCCATGTATCGAAAAGTGTTTCTTTAATACCTACAAGGTACTAAGCACCATTCCTGACAATGGGAATCCAGCAGTGAATAAAACCGAAGGCTTCACGTTTGTTGACTTTATGTATGAATTGGGAGACAAACTATAAATGAATTTATATACATAAAAGTACATGTATATACACACACATATAAAATAAGTTATGACAGTGCCATACAGAAAAATGAAACAGAGCTATGGAGGTGCTTTTGATGGAGTGTCCAGGAAAAGCCTGGACAATACTTGAGCAGAGGAGTGAGTTGCAATACCTTGCAGCTATCTGGGAAAGGAATGCCTCACACAAAAGGACTGGCATATCTAAGGGTACAGAAGCAGAGGTGTGTCTTCCCATCTGAAGATACTCATGGAATAGCAAAGGAGGCCAGAATGGCTGCAGCTGAGCGAGTGAGGAGGAAGGTGCTAGGAGATGAGATTGGCAGAAGTCCTATCACTTAGCATCTTTTGGGTAGGGAAGGGGTTTGAATTTTGTTCTATATGTGATGGGGAGCCATTGAAGGGTCTTTTGAGCAGGGAAGTGACATCACCTGGGTTACATTTTAAAGATTCACTCTGGCAGCAGAGTGAGAAACAGACTAAAGGAGTCAGGAGGACACCAGTGAAAACAGGGAGCTATAGCAAGAGTCTTTGCAGTTGCCCAGGCTAAAGATGACTGGTGTGGACTGGTGGCTTGGACTGGTGTGGTAGCGATAGACCTATGCAAGTGGTTGGATCAAAATAGATTGAAGACAGAGCTCTAGGAACTTGCTGCCATGTGTGAAAAAGGATAGAAATGACTGCTAGGTTGAGGTCCTGAAAAATGACTCCTAGGTTACTGATAATGCCATCTACTGAGATGGGGGCCCCAGGGGAGAAGCAGGCTGAAGTGGGAGCAGTAGTCCTGCTATGTCTGTGAAAACTGAGATACCTATCAGACATCTGTGTGGAGATGTAAAGGAGCATCGTCAATATTTTTGGGATATATCAGACTGGAATCACATGTCAGGATTATGAGAGTCATCACCATCATTGTCATGGATATTTATTGAATGCCTGCTATGTAACAGGCAGCATAATATCTAATCATCACAACACTCTGAGGTAAACAGTGTTTTCTCCATTTTATAGATTGAAAAAACAAAACAAAACTGAGATTTAGCTAGGCTAGATAACTTGCCTAAGGTTATGCAGCCAATCAGAGGTAGGCTTCAAACTCATACATTTTTAACCTCCAGATCTAATTGACTCTGACCTAAATAAGTAACTGTTAAATATCCCAAGTGATATTCCATTTTTTAAAAAGTTGGACTTTTGAAAGATCAGTCTTAAATTTAAAACATGAACAGTTCTCAAATAATATAATGTAAGAAATTGGAAATAAATGATATGAACTTGGTTTGTTGTATATTCAACTGAAATTGAGTACTCTGTTAGTGAAAGTAATTTTTATGTTCCTCGACTCACTTTTAAGGCAATTAGAGTGTGAATATGTATATTCTAAAATGGTTGCTTATTTTGTAGGAATCCAATTTGCATATATAGTGGTGATCCTAACAACCATTAAGCTTGACCCTTCCTGGTGAAAAAGAAACAGATTGATTATTATGCAGAGGTATCTAGAATTCTTCATGCATTTTGAGTTTATTTAGCAAAGTACATCTTATACTGAGCTATCTAATAATAATGAGAAGAGCTGTAATGCCTCTGGTGAGAAAAAGTCAAGACAACATTTTTAATGCACAGCATTTTGTCTGTGAAATGACATGAAAGGCAGTAAATGTATCTTGATAAATTCAAAGCATTATAAAGAGTCAAAGAATTGAAGTTGAGATCTTTTTATGTAAACCCCCAGTTTCCCTTTAGCTTCCACTCATGTCAGTATCTGTCTTTTTTCTAACAAATTTTCTGTGATGAACCATTATGAATGGATCTATTGATACCACAGAAAAGTCACAAATTTTCCATAGAAACTATTATTATAGAAGCAGTACATGTGTATTGCAAAAAAAAACAGAAAATACTACAAGCAAATATAAAATGATCACTTCTTAATTTTAATTTTTAATTTTTATGGTAATAATCACATCAGGGTAAATGGGGTATTCATCACCTCAAGTATTTACCATTTCTTTTTGTTACAAACATTCCAATTATATGCTTTTAGTTATTTTTAATTGTACAACAAATTACTATGTAGTAATTACTGTGTAGTAATTTATTGTACACTTAAATGTAGTCACCCTATTGTGCTGAAAAATACTAGCTGTTATGCTCTTATTCATTCTATCTATATTTTTGTACTTATTAACTATCCCCACTTCCCAATCACCTCTACTACCATCTGTCTATCTCCGTAAGTTTAATTGTTTTAATTTTTAGCTCTCACAAATGGGTGAGAACATGTGAAGTTTGTCTTTCTGTGCCTGGCTTATTTTAATTAATACTTAACATATTGTCCCCCAGTTCCGTGCATGTTGTTGCAAATGACAGGATCTCATTCTTTTTCATGGCTGAATAGAACTCTGCTGTGTATATGTACCACATTTTCATTATCCATTAGTCTATTGATGGGCTCTTCAGTTGCTTCCAAATCTTGACTATTGTGAATAGTGCTGCAGTAAACATGGGAATGCAGATATCTCTTTGATGTAATGATTTTCTTTATTTTGGGTGTATACCTAGCAGTAGGATTGCTAGATCATATGATAACTCTATTTTTAGTTTTTTGAGGTATTCCCGTACTGTTCTCCACAGTGGCTGTACTAATTTACATTCCCACCA